AGTTCATCAGCTGTCTATAACTGGTGATATATTGGTTACCACGTCTTGAAAATGAATGCAAGCTTTTTTTACTCAGTGTTTCTTCTTCTTTATGTATTAACATTCTAAATGTAAAATTCTATAGACTTACATTTTATCCATCTGTCTATCTATGTATCTATCTATGTGTATGTGTACGTACACACAGAATGAAACATAGAAGGTACACAGAATGTAGCCTGTGACTACAAAATGTAGCCATTAACGGTCTTTTTCATCAGTGTGCAAACACATTATCTTGCTGTGATGAGCATTGACAATACTCATATGTCCCGCCTGTTGCATGTGAAATCCCCTGCAAATCATTCACATCCAGACGACCAAACAAAGTGCTGTGGGGTATCGCAATTCCTGCCTTTCCCACACACTGCCTCTAACACCAGTGTGCAACACCATCCGATCCACACTGGTGCCGTTAGCATAGCGAGAGGGAACCTGCATTTATGCGGTGGTCTGAACACCATCATTCCTAATAACTGTGAGAACTAATTTGTGCTACACCTTTGACCTTATTATTCTAAATCTTTTTTTTAATGCCTGTTGAAAACCTTCTTAAATGAACAATGCATCGTAAGGTTTCAGTAATGATTTCTTTTTGAGTAACTGACATTTAATGTAACAGGAAACCCTCAAGCTGTAGATAAAACAAGAATTCCAAATAAATATTACATAAAATTCTCTGGAACACTGTGATTTGAAAACGAACCAAAGATTAAAAAAAACATAATCCATTCACAAGGAAGTACATCTGAAATAAATGCAGAGAGCAATCTGCAGAGCGACATGTTATGCTAATCATGCTGCTTTGAAGCAGTTACCTGGGTGACTAATTCTAACTGTCAGAGTCACGGAACGGAATGATTGTTTAATAATTACTCATTACGCTCCTGACTGCAGTGCCTGCGGTCACCTTGGTGCGAAAGGACTCAGTCGCCGCTTGCAGAGACAGAGATGTGGAAAACACACGGCTCCCATTTAAACCACCACATGCCAGATATTTAGCTTGGAAACAAAAGCTGCACAGCGTGGGAGTAAAATTCCCTATCAAAGCGCAAACACCTTGATGAAGCTCTTAGGTGGCTCCGCTATCCCCTTCCAAGCGACCGGGCGCGTTTCCAAGAGCAGCGAGAAGGCCTGTCCCTGGCAGCATGGGGCAGTGTGTACCAGGAAGCACAGGTGAGGGATGCAGTGCCTGAGCTGAGCTGGTGGGGTTTACTCAGAGGGATTTTGTACAGCGTTCGCAGTGCACTGTTGGTGACTAACACAGGGAATCGCAGCACCGGCCAGTAGAGTGTCCCTTAGGAATAAGCACCGAGGCGGGGCCTTGCGGCTGAATCACCACATGTTAAAGCAATCCCGTCGGGGCAGACAGATACAGTAACAGACATGCGGAGAAAACCCGCGGTGCGACGGAAGGGGGAGTTTCTCGGCGTACTTTCTGGGGGTGTTCGGCCATAATGCGAGCTTAATGCGGGGGGGTAGGAAGGCAGAGATCTGAGCAGACGTGATTTGAATGAGCAGTGGTGCGAGTGCTCCCAACCAGAGACACCAGCGTCCTGCCACGCTGACTGAGGGTGACAAGCGCAGAATCGAGGGGGAGGGATTTTTTTTGTGGTTGTTTATCTTGAACACGTCCTGTCTTGCTGCTGCCTCCCGCATTGCTGTGCTTGGAATGTGGGGTTTCGTCATGCTCCTGAGTTGAAAACAACAGGATTTTCAACAGGCGGCCAGCGCTCTGAGGCAATAACTCCCACCAATGGCTGCTCTATGAGGCTGTACCAGTCGATATCTTTTCAATGGTCAGTGTAAAGTTATGTCCCACAACAGTTTCAAAATGATTCTCATTTTTTGTCAAGAACAGGAAAATGAGCTGGTCTTACACATCAAGCCCACACAAAGCCAATGGCCCTTGCAAAGCAGATTTTTGAATAATTTTTAAGTCCAAACATACTGTCCATGACTGACTGTCCCTTGTGTTGTGTTTACTTAAGATCCAGCCTTGATTTTGATGCAAACTTGGAGATAAGAAACCTGTTCTGCTATAGACTGGGACTATGCCAAACTTTTACATGCATAAGTACTGCCACCTGTTTCCACACAACTGCTGACTTTCCAGCTTTCAGTTTCTCTAAAAAGTAAGCACTGGAACAGGGACAGGTGATGACATAACAAGAAACACTACATGAAAGGTTGATTGTTGAGTTCATTTTGTTTTGTGCTTATTATAGTATAGTAACTTTACCAGCTGAAAAAAAGACACACAACAGTGTATGATCATAGCTTGTCAAATGGGTCACCCAAGAATGCCTGTTTTGTTTTTCTACAGACAACAGGGAATTTTACTTAAAAGGTCTGCTACCTCTCGACACATGAACCCTACTTATATGATTACAGAACATTTATAACTGGCTTACTCTTTCTGACAATGACAATATGGGAGAGCAATCAGTTCACATCTAAACAAGCTGCGGTTTCATTCAAAGCCACTTTGAAGGGACCAAGACCCAGACCGAGACCATGAGCACAGACCCAGACACAGACCAGCTGAGAGGGAGCCACAAAACCAAGAGCCTGTGATCAAGCCTCTGCCTCTGACAGCCCTCTTCTCAGCCTCCTAAATCAGCTCTTCTTTTGCATCTGGGGAGGATGGCTTTGCTCTGTATAAGCAGAGAGGAGAGGACAGGAGAGGTCTCCCACCCCCAAAAACAAGAGCCTGTGATCAAGCCTCTGCCTCTGACAGCCCTCTCCTCAGCCTCCTAAATCAGCTCTTCCTCTGGATCTGAGGAGGCTGACTTTGCTCTGCAGAAACAGGGGGGAGAGGAACAGAGGAACGAGGCCCACTCTCAGCTCAACGGCCTGGCGCCTGGCACGCCTCCCAGAACCAATAACGATAAACACATGTTTAGGATTTCTCCCCGCAAAACTTACATTCCATTCACTTCAAAGCCATGAATCACATGGCAAAGAGGAAAGGTATCCCCTTGCCCAGATAATCATTTGATACTCCCTCCAAACACTGCATCAGCAAATCTGTCCTGTACAGGATCATGACCTGTTCCCATTTGTATGGATTATGATGATTGTTTCACTGCTGTCTCTGTGTGTCATTGATAGAAGGGAATGCATAGAAGACCAACTAAAAAGATGCACAGTGTAAATAAAAAGGCATTTTGTCTAGTGTTTAATCATGTACTGTAATAACACTTAATTTTAGTCTGTCAGCTGGATTGTCATTTGACAACCTGACAATGACAACCTGAACTGCCCAGATTATGCATTTATTGATTATTTTATTTCAGTATGAAAATTATGATTTTTTTTCCCTTTTCCACATTGACTTGGAATCAATTGTGCACACTGACATTTAGACAACAGATGCACTACAAGTCCCATAATGCACCACAAGAGGGCAAACACTGAATGGAGGATAGGAACGTCCCCCACTGACATCATCTGAGAACCTGACGAATCAGGTAATTTTGAGGGGTGCAACATGTGGACATCTGGCCGGTATAACCTACCCAAACCCTTGCAAAACAGAACGAATTATGTCCTGTTGATGCAGACTCTAGTCATTGTCAGATAATGACACAGCCCAGATTCAAAGTTACAGTTCAAGTCTTCAGCTGTAGGGCTGTCTGTACTTGGAACCAGCTGTTTAACAGAATGAGCCACAAGGGAGTCTTTTTTCATTATTTTTAATATACCTTTATCTGTGTATCATACCAAGTGCATTATAATATGTCAGCGTACAATAATGAAGCTGTTGATGGCATTTCATACATATTTTCATTCATATTAAAACATTAATCAAAACCATCTCATGGCTGGGAGAATGAAATAGTTTACTGATATTATAAAATGTGTGTTTGGAGCATGCTGTACACCTACACACAACGGTATGCAAAAACTGTTAGTGGGATGTTTCCTTACATATTACAATGGTATTTCACAGATGATGAACATCACCCTTATGAACACTGCTTTCGTCAATCATGACACAAAGTCAGCCAGCTCAAAATTAGTAAATAAATTATGAATACATCATGTGTTGAATCATGTTTTGAGGTTCACGAAGTCAAAAAAGGGAATGAACTGTGCAAAATGAATTTTAAAAAAATTGTCTCATCAGAATATGCTCTCTTTTTCTCTTTATGCTTTGACTTGAGAATCACATCTAAATGTAAGAAAGTTGTAGAGAATAGACCTTATATATTATTTTAATATCACAGTTTAACAAATTAAAAACTGTAACAGTACAACAATACACAATAGGTAATTAAGCCTTACTGTGAAAGATACTGTAGAGTTGTGAACTATTTAGTTGCAAACTGAATAACTGATGTTATATGGACAGTGGGCATTTAATGCTAACACTGACATGTTATGACATGATCATGGCAATCATGTTTTCACTTTTATTTAAAGTCCATGGAAATGAGCAAAAATTTTCCTAGGGACCAAAAAAAGAAGAAGTTAAAGAAAGAAAGAATGAAATTAATTCCCAGGACAAAAACATTCATTAAAATTTTATTTACTTTAATAACATTACTTTGCTAGTTCTGCAGAATTTTCACATTTATAGAATGAGCAAGGAGTCTTCCACTGGCACATGGCCCATATTAATGTGAAAACTGACAAACACCAGCACTGAACTGGCAAACAGCTTCTTTACCCTAAAGACCCTTCAGGTCTCCTGGCAAGTGGCTATCAGCAACACACCTGCCTACAGCTCCTGACAGCCAACCTTTCCAGCAAATTTCCTCAAAATTCTATTCTACTCTATGCAGATCTTCACCCCTTGAGCTCCTGACTCACTAATCACTTTACATTACTGTCACTTAGCAGACACTCTTATTCAGAGTGACTCACATAGGTTAAAGTTTTATCCGTTCATACAGGTGGCTCTTTACAGAGGCAATTGAGGGTTAAGTACTTTGCCCAAGGGTACAACAGCAGTGCCCCAGTGGGGAATTGAACCGGCCACCTTTCGGTTATGAGCCCTGCTCATTACCACTATGTTACACTGTTGGTTTCCTAAAGACCTGCCCTTTGTGTGGCAGTAGAGGGCGGCCAGGTTTGCAGAGAGAAGAGAGAGATGACCAGTTAGCTAGTTACGTCTCAATACTTCACAGTGCTCAAACCTGGGTGTCCGAACATGTGACCGCGATGACTCTCCAAATGTACCATTATCATTGCCCTGCACAATTGCTGTATTCTCTGGGAATAAATTTGCAAGCTGTTCCTCAATGGATATTGACTAAACAGAATACAGGTCTAGCTAGTTAACAATACAGCTCTCCATTTGGTCAGACTCAGTAGCTATCTTATTTGAGCACGCTAGTCTGATTTACATGACTGACAGCATACATTTTCATGTGGAAGGCTGAGGTATTTCATTTAATATCTAGATATTATGTCTTAATAGTGTTGCAACTACTCAGAAATAATAAATAATGTCAATAACAAGCAAACTTGTTATTTAGCTGAATACAGATAAATGAAAGTTGTGCCTGCAGACAACACTGACCAGCTTACCAGTGTCTATTCATCCTCACAACATGAAGTCAACATTATGGCTATGACACATTGTCAAAAGAGTAATACATTCTCTGCGGATAGCTTTCTGCAGCCAATATAATTAAACTGATTTCTGGGAAAACACAGATCAGCTTTCTGATTGGGGTACCTTATTTCTGTGATCTCATTCAACTCTGCGGATGGCTTTGATTTTTTTCTTGAACTTCAGCGAGGCGCGTTTCCTAATGTTGATTAGTATTTTTTCGGTTAAAATCTGTTGTTGCAGTTGGATTTCTCTATGTTTACATTTTAAATACTTGCTTTAAATACTTGTTTTTCCACAATATTTTTTTTCAGATTCCCAGAATCTTCCTATTTTTTATACATATCAAAGTATAATAGTAAGGATAGGGTTGGTGTGCTGTTTTAGACAGCAGCTTTCAAGTATATCATCAGCTGAAGAGTGGAGATGCATACGAATGATTAAATTCCAAACTCCACGCTTTTTTATATGGCCAAGGACACCTGACATATATTTTGAGAACAAACAGCCATCTCACACAATATTGGGACATAAATTACGTTCCTGGGGATGAGAGAAAGAGATGTCTCTTTTATGGGCCCGAGGTTCAAAGGGTCGAGCAAATCAATGGCGGCTTTGTGTTTTGTTCTGAGCGCGTTTAACCCTCCGACTTGATGCTCTTCGCAGCTGTGCAGTCAAACACCAGCGGCAGACACTCTTTTCTAGGGGTAGTGGACCCCTGCCCTGCAGGGCGAAATGATTCAGGTTTTAATACGCATCTTTAACAGGAAACCAGGGCTGTTCTCTGAAAACACTGGGTAACCACAAGAGTTTCATTTAACCTGTCTGCATACATAATAGGAATATGACATCGCTTTTAAGCTTTCTGGAAAAAAAAGGTTAATAGCTATTTTAAGTGCAGCCCTAGCCAGGTAAAAGATTTAATTAGTCACAGCAAGCACACACTAAGCCACTGGCCCTCATGAAGCCAGTTTATAAATGTTTGGTACCTCCTGCCAAATACTCTCCCTGAGTTCCTATGTCTGGGATTACAGCTGACTTAATAATGGACTTATATTACTGTGTAATAGTTCTATGTAACAGATCTTTGGCAGCAAGAAAATGTGGACTGGCGAAGGCCTTATCTTTCCTTGGTCTCACAGCGGGACTTACAGCACTTTAGAGAATATCACAATGATCGATGATGTCATGGCTTGCAGATAATGGATGATGTCATGCGATTGGAAACGTCCAGGTGAGGCAGTGATGTGCTGGAACACGGTACGAGGAAGTATGGAGTGAATTAAATCACAAGCACCTGGCAACAGACCTCTGTGGTGAACGATGCTATTCTGACATGGATGGGCCTCTCTGGGGGGGGGGCTGGGAGGGGGTAATCGAGATATCCAGGGGAAGGAAATCCAGATGCCGACTGAGATCTTGGACCATGTAGCCATGAGTTTGTGTAGTTCACTGATCAAACAAGAAAGCCACAGCAGTACAGCACACCATCAAAGCAGTAAAGTGCTCACTACTGCATCAAAGAGAAAAAATAACGAAACAAAGACCTTTCAAATCTGCCAATCACTGCTTTGGTAACCAAAGCGACTCTTTATTATTGCTTCTCTCGGAGAGGGACATTAAGGGAAGACCACTGTGGCCCGGTCATACAGCATGTTGCTGTTAACTTTCCCACCCCTGTTTCCTGGTCGGGGGGTTGGGGGGGTAATATGGTGACTACAGTGTCAGAGGACTTCCACAGCTCCACTGTCCAACACAAACACACACTAATGACGAGTCTGTAAACAGTTTCCCAAGCAACACCCATGTAGGGGGTTGAAGGGAATGCCTGTATGGACGATGGCATCCCTGCTCCGTGTGTGAGCTCATGACTCCTGCCCCTCCAGCCACTCGGTTTGTTTTCATGCTAGTGCACCGCTTGCCCGGGCGAAGCTCCTGTGGGAAGGACAGGGTTGGAGCCCTGCAGACAGGCAGCTTTCTCATTCCCTGGCTCTGTGCTAACCACTCTGTGACTGGGGACAAGCTTAACACCGCAGGACAGCGGAGCCGCACTTTAATTACGCACACCACGCTTGGTTCAAGTTCACTTCACTGGCTGTTTCTGGCTGAATGGAGAAATGGGAGGCAGGGGGAAGGATTAGGGGAAGGGGGGGTGTTTAATAGAGCCCCCAAAATGAAGTGAAAGCCGCAGACGCTCCGGGGAGAGGAAAACCGCTGATTAAGGAGAAGCCTTTGAGAGGAGTGACGCGGAGATGCCGGCTCTGATCGCCACGGCGCTCCATCCTCTGACAGCTCGGCTTACACCACACGACCGCTCAGCACCGGCTCATCCTCTCCTCTCCTGAAGACCGTCGAGCTTCACTTCAGCACCTGCGGCAAAGTGGATCAGAGCTGTCTGGGATGCGGTAGTCATTTCCCCTCAGTGAGGTATCAGGCACGGTATCTGTGTCAGCCAATTAGAATTCATCCTCATAAGATGAGAGCTACACATAGTTTTTTTTTCCAGGCTGTCGAGATGTCAGTGATCATGCTTGAATGCATTGGTGAATATTTTCCAAATTTGTAAGGAATGTGTCTCAAATACAGATCATGAAGATGGACATTGTTCCTGTAGTATGTGGTCAGGCATCCATGCACTCCATATTGAAGTATGGTATTAAAGTACTGAATGTATATTTTTAACATTTTAGCCTGCAGTCTTATTGGCTGTTTCTTAACTTACAGCTGCAACTACCTCTTTGGATGGAAAAAAACACTTAAATTCATATCACTGTGATTCAGATTCAATAAACGCCTGTTTACAAAGTCATAATAAACCCCATCTGTTTGCCTGCAACGTGTGCCTCAGTTCAGCAGCGGATCGCCATGGTAAGATGATCTCCACGGTAACGCTCATCAGCGTTTCAAGCACGCACTGGAGCTGCGTTTACCATCTCACTGAGCGTCTGACTCATCTGTCAGTGGCATGACAACATACATGTTGTACTGTAGCCCTGCGTGTCACAAAGAATTCTGATTCAGAACAGATTCCTAAGGGTGACTGCACAAAAGCTACCAAGTGGCCTTTTGCCATACAGTATCAGTCAGCAATCCTCCCACCATACAGCCCACTCCTGCCTAAAGGGTGAAGCTAAGAGGGATTGGGTTTGGTTAAGCTTTGTTTTGGTTGGTCTCCTGGGCAAACCAGGTTGCTGTTGGAAGTGGCATTCGTGGACCAGTAGGGGGCAGTCTTCCCTCTGGCCCAAACAACAGCGTCACCCCTTTGCAACTCTGCTCCAGGAGACACTACTGTTTAGTGAATGCCCCCAGTTTAACTGGCTAAATAAACCCCTACCTCGCCTCCCCCGGTGGACGGTGAGCATTCTGGTGTGAAATGGTCGTGCATATCTCAGGTGGGTGCCACACAGTGGTGATATCTCAGGTGATTGTCTTCCTCTCCCCCTCACTGTGAAGCACTTTAGGATCCATAAACAATTCAAATATAAATGTAATTCCCCGCCATTATTTAGTGATCTTTCATACGCAAAAGTGGAGAAGTCATGCATGCACAGAGGTGTATGCATGCAGATATTCTCTACACAGTCTAAGGTGTATAATCTACTAGAAAATACAAAAGCTGCATTAAGGGTCCAACTTTACTTTAAGGCACCTTAATGCACTTGCAAACATATAGATACATGAGTAACATGAGTGTAGAAGCCAATGGCAGTACTGTTACACATATCCCTTTATAGGTTTGTGCCTGCACAGTCAGCACTGTTACACATTTCTTGTAACACATGTGTTACACATGTATAAGTACATACATAGATAGTTTTTGGTTTCTGTATATGTAATGAAAGAGTCTGTACTCAAGTACTGTGTAATAAAGTGTACACTGCATATACACTGTCTACTAACATAATTACACAACACTTCAACAGTGGGCAGCAGTATGGTGTAATGGTAAGGAACAGGATTAGTAACCAAAAGGTTGCTGGTTTGATTCCCTGTTGGGGCACTGCTACTGTACCCTTGGGCAAGGTACTTAACACACACCTACCTCAGTAAATGTCCCACTGTATAAATGGATAAAACTGTAACCTACGTAAGTTGCTCTGGATAAGAGCATATGCTAAATGACAGTAATGTAATGTATTACTATGTACTGGAGGGAGGGGGTTAAAGCAGGGGAACTAAGGGTCACTGTAGGTCAGTCTGTAAAGAGGGTGCTATGTAACAGAATTGTGTAATTACTGTTAATGAAAATACCTGCATATTGATTAACAACAGGAGGTGTGGATATGTTTACTGTGCAGTTGATACCATATGCATGTAAAGGGTTTGACAGTATGTTTCCTGTGACTGTCCCTGTGTGCATTACGTGGAAGTTAAATATGCATAGGAAAAGTCAATAAGCTCGATTTTTAATTAAATACACTTGCAAAAATCAATCCAATTTGTGAAGGATTTCATGCATGATTCTTCA